GGCTGTATATGAAGGTAGTGTGTCAAATACACAGCGACTCAAAACAGACCGAGCTACCCTGGGACAACTGCTGCCCTCTCCCTCATGTGTGAAGGGTATGGACTTATGGTCCATTCAGAATCCCACTTATATTAACCTTAAGGAGTATTTTTCCTATGCAGAGCTCTTTTGTTAGTGGTATAACAGCATCTTGACATATACACAAGGAATGGCAGGGTGCCCTGTGTCACGATGGACCACCCATAGTAAAAATATCTGAAAATGAACTCATGCTGATGCACCAGCCCATAAGTTATGATCAAATTCAGGCACATACCCTTTCTACTGGGTCCGGGACAGCCAACTTATCTCACAATGGATGTGAACCTTGAGGCATGCTTCTGTTTTTCAAATTCATGTCCCCTCCTTTGCTCCCCTTTTAGAAAATCATAAGCCTGGGGTGGGGTGGGGTGGGGTGGGGTGGGGTGGGGTGGGGGATGATGGAACGTGGTAGATAGAGTCAGGAACCTTGGCTAGAGTCACATTACAGCTAGCTCACAGGTGGACACCACACAGCATCCCCTCTTTTCTCTATACCTCTGTTTCCTCATTTGCTAAGAAGATAATCAACTCAAAATCTCTAACAACTTCCTCAGTTCTAGCAAACTGGCTTTAAAAGCAGACTTTTCCTCCCAGAACTCAGATGGTGAGCAGACTTCCTACATGTAATTTGTGCTTTATCTTTTATCCCTAAAATTCATGTAAACACATTGCCATTATCACATTGTTATATTTTCAAAAACATCATAGTTATTGACACAAAGTTATAGTATAGTCCTTGAAGTAAGTCAAGATTTGATTAATGAGCCCTAATTATTAGATACTTTGTTTTCTTGTAGACCCTCTAGGACAGTAGTTCTCAATCTTCCTAATGTTGCGACCCTTTAATATAGTTCTTCATGTTGTGGTGGCCCCCACCATAAAGTTATTTTTGTTGCTACTTCATAACTGTAATTTGGTTACTGTAATGAATTATAATATAAATGTCTGTGTTTTCTGATGGTCTCAGAAGACCCCCTGTGAAGGAGTTGTTTGACCCCCAAGGAGTTGAAAGCCACAGGTTAAGAACTGCTGTTCTAGAGGGAGTCACCTGACTTAAAAATAAATCTCCTTTCCCTAAAAGGGTCTCATCCCAACACTTACAATGCAGAGTCTTCTATTTCCTTGTTTCCTGCTTATAGCTGGCTGGCCCCCAGGGGCAAACACCTGTATTTAGGTGCATTGGTCTGTTGCTCTTTGAATGGGGACTCTAAGGTGTGCTAGTCCCTCAGCCAATCAGGAGGACACAGTAAAAGATGAAGAACTATGATTGGCTATCACAGCAGCACCACTGAAGTATCCTTAAAATCACAGTGTTAGGAAAGCCGCAGTCTACATCCTCAAACCACATGACCTAAGCAAGCATGTCAGAGAGGTGGAGGGATCACTTACCAAGAACAAAATCTAAAATGGGAGGTGAACAGCAGAGTAGAAATTTGATTATCCTCCTAAATCTTTTGACAAACAAAATTGGAATGAAGCTTCCTTAGTTCAATTCTCAGGACCTTCATGGCTATCCTAAGGGTGATGTTTAATGTCCCTGCACCCAGGAGAAGAGGTGGGTGAAGTATTTCCTTCACTTGACCAGTGGTCCTGCCATAGGAACCCCTTGCTCTCACCAAACCCAATTGCCTCCATACCTCATGCTTTAAAGCAGTGGTTCTCCACATGTGGGTCATGACCCCTTGGCAGCAGCGGGGGTGGGGGTTGCCTAAAACAATCAGAAAACACAGATATTTGCATTATGATTCCTAACAGTAGTAACAATATGGTTATGAAGTAGCAATGAAAATAATGTTATGGTTGGAGGTCACCACAACATGAGGAATTGTATCAAAGGGTCACAGTACTACAAAGGTTGAGAACTACTGATCTAGAATATGCTCTTCTGCCACTCTCTTCCTGACTGGCTATGGAGTTGCTATGGATTTTCTGTCTGTTTCACCACCAGACATCTAGAAAGATTCTCACAGTTCCCTAGACTCTAAGCCCCTCAGACTTCAATGGGCTCCAGACGGGTGCTCATGTCCTCTCATCCTAGGATCTTACCACCCAACAGAGGCTAACTACCCTTGTGATGGATGACCATTGGTTAGTAGGGTCCTGCCTTCATCCTGCTGGAAGGGAGTGGGAACTGTGGACAAGCAAGTAGGTGTCTCATCCCTGCCCCAGAAGCCGACTGGCAGTTGGGTCTCTCCAGCACGTAGTAAGCCCTCTCCCTGGAATTGGTGGCTGGGAGTAGGCTAGATAAATGGCATTCTCCAGGGTACCTCTTTATCTGATGGAAGCAAAGCAAAGTTGACTACAGGAGTCGGCTCTGTGTTATGAGATAGCAGCCTTTGATGGGAAATAAAAGCCACATCAAATGGGCCTTTCGACTGCATCTGAATACTTGGGCTTAATATTTATACCTTAAAGTCTGTAGGCTGGTCAAAGCATCGGCGTGTGCTTTGGAAGAGTCTTCTTTTTTAATATAAGATGGAGAATATTTTATTTCCTAGTTAACAGGTGTGCATGTGATTCATCATACACATTCTAGTAAGAAGGACTCATTCCTGGAAACTCAGGAGTCTGTGGATCTGGAGAGGCCATAGATGACACAGTCGGCATCTCTGAAACCCCGTCCCATCTCCTGTCACCTGGCTATGGAGGGGGAAGCTGAAGAGCAGCTTGACCTCCTGTTTGCATACTATCCCGGTCTCTGCCTTGGAAATAGAATCCCATGAGTCCACACAGGAAGTCTTCCAACGCTAGACATGGTGGCACAAATGGCTTTCACATTAGGAGGCAGAAGAGGTCAGTTCATCAGTGTGCCCCATTTCTGCAAATGGGTTGATGCTTTCCAAGAGGGACATAATTACCACAGGAACTCAAGGGAGTGAGGAGTGAGGGAAGGCAACACAGCCTCTGCACAAGGGGCATTTCTGGATTGTAGTGGTAACGTAAGGACATTTAGCTTGCATCCATTCCTACTGTGTGGAAGATCTGTCCTAAAAGAACTAGTGGCAGGACCCTAGTACTTCCTCTCAAGCCCTCAGCAGTTGATAGAGCACTGCCCCATTCTATAGTTAGCTTGAAGAAGCCATGCCCACAGTGAGGCCGTATGCCTGGGCCCAGGAACAGTTGAGGAAGTTTAGAGGAAATAAGTATGGGAAAAGAAGATGCTAGCCCTTGATGGGGTTCTTGGGCCTCAGTGGATGACGGTTATAATTATAGTGTGACAGCACGCTATCACTGTCTCTGTTAGTGTCCTTGTTTTCTCTTCTGGTGCTGTTAAAAGACTCAGACAAGAGCAACTAGAGGAGGAAGGGTTTCTTTTGGCTTACAGCTCTAAGTTAGAGACCATTGTCAAAGACAAGCTGAGGCAGCAGAAACTCGAAGCAGGGAACTGAGAATGGAGATGGAGCGAATGCGTGCATGCTTACACTCTGCTGGCTCTATGCTTTTTATAACATTAGAAGACCCAAGTGTAGGGAATGGTACCACCCATTCTTAGGCTTGGTCTCCCTCACCTCAATCAACACAATCAAGACAAATTCCCAAAGGCCAACCCAGTCTAGACAATACTTCACTGAGTCGCTTCCCTGGAAACTATAGACTGGGCCATGTTGACAATCATCACTGACCATCAGCAGGAGAACGAAAGGGATGCCACGTTCATCATGAAGATGCCTTTCAACTGGGCTTCAGAGGAGTCTTAACAACTGTAGCTGTTAGGCAGGGAAGATCTGCCTCACACACAGGCCTGAGGCGTGCTCTCAGAGGTGGAGGATCAGCAGCGTGAAGAGGCAGAGAACACTTCGTCTCCTGTGGCCACCAGTAAGCAAGCTCACGTGTGGCCACGTGGGCACGGGACATCTGCAGAGAGCGGTGAGCAACTGCGAGATTGTTGGCTGAAAGACAAGGAGCGCTGTATCAAGTGAGGTAACCCGGGCTCAGAACGACACCGGTGTCTCTTCTCAACTCTCGATGTGCATATCGATGTGGGAGGGAGAGAACTGGGTGCCAGGAAGCCAGAGAAGGGTCCATGAGAGGGGGAAAAATGACTTGCAGCCAAAACTACCCTATATTTAAATCTCTGTCAAAGTTACCGACTCTGTATTTAAAGCCTAAAATGTCCTGATTGACTGGATTAGCATCTGAACATTCATGAGGAACCTTAAATTCCTGCTTATGCTTGCTTGCAGACAGAGCTCCTCTGCTGATTTGGGATGGTACTGAAAGTGTTGTGGCTGTCTGCTTTGTTGTGTTGTGTTGTTTTTCTTCTTCTTTTTTCCTGTTTTTCTATACATTTAGTGATTTCCATTGAGCTACATTTTTATTTTGTTATCGTTCATCTTTCATTTGTTCTCACTATGTGGCATTAAGTCTTCCGATAAACACAATGTATTTTTTAAATATTAGCCATTTTTAGAAAGGCAAAAAGATCCCAGGGAAACAGTCAGCTATGAAATTTGTAACAGGTTTATATGTATTGTTTGGTCAATCACTAAAGCTCTCAGTGCTGAGTGTGAGTGTGTAAGTGTGTGTGTGTGTGTGTGTGTGTGTGTGTGTGTGTGTGTTTGTGTGTGTATAAATTAGTGTGTGTGAGTCAGTGAGAGTGTTGTGTGCATGTGTGAATGTGTATATGTGTGCATGAGTGTACTTTGTGTGTGTGTATGTGTGTGTGTGTGTGTGTGTGTGTGTGTGTGTGTGTGTGTGTGTGTATGTTAACTCACTAGACAAATTTCAGTTCAAGGCTTCTAGGACTGAACTGTGTTCCTTCAAATTCTTGTGTTGAGGTCCTTCCTGCTCCCTGCATGTACATATAGTAACAAGATAATTCAGGCTAAATGTGACTATGAATGTAGGTCCCGGAGCCCATAGGATCAATGCCTTGTCCTTTTAACAGATGTCAGAGATCAGTCTTTGTCTTTCCACAGTGACAGCAAGCAAAGAGAAGCCCACAAGCTGGGAAGAGGAGCTGACCAGAAGCCAGGGACTGCAGTTCTGTGGTCTTGGGCTTCCCAGCCTCCAGACATGTAAGCAGCAAGAGTCTATCTATAAGCTCACCCCACCCTCACCCCAGACTATGGTCCTTATTATAGCTCTGAGATAATTAAAGCAGGAATAGAAGAAGGTGTCAGGGCCCAATCCAGGGAGATGTGGATGACTTAAGAACAGATAAAAGGCTTAGGGGAAGGTATGGGGGCAGAGGAAACAGCAATGAAGACCTCAGACAGAGGTAACCTGCTCACTGGGGGAGACGCGGCACACACAGGAGGACTCTGGAAACAGCTGGTGTGAGATAGCCCATCTCTCTGTGTATCCCATCATCCAACCTAGATGGACCTGCCCAGAGTCACTACACAAGTCTGCTTCTTGCAGCATCTGGCAAGTGTCCCATCTCCTCACCCCCAGGGGTTGACTGCTCTTTTGGACAACATTACCAGTTGTGACAGTATATGTAGTCTATATGGCCCATCCGGTGTCTTTTCCACAAAGCCATTCAAGGGGTTGGTTCTGTGAGGCCCCCATACTTGCTTAGGAGGGGGTCTCCACGCTTGGTATTTGTGTGGCCTGTGGCGGGTGCTGATCATATCAGCTCCAAGCTTAAGACTACTTGTCTCAAGTCTCCAAGTCCCTCAAAGGCCTTCAGGAGCTGTATTATTCGCCATTGAGTTACCAGTCATTGGCCTGGTCTCTGTCACAGAGAGACAGTTACTCACATTTATTGAATGATGAGGAAGTAAACGGAGGGGGAAGTGGGAAATTGGGGAGATAGAACCCTGCACCAGGCTCTTCCCACTCTAAAATCATTCCCTGGAAGAATAGAAGAACAAAAACCAAAAGGATTGGGTTAGAATTATTTCCAAAATCTAAAGTCATAATATAACATAAGGAGCCAAGTAGAGTTATAGCCTTTGCTTCAAGCCTTTTTGTGGTACAAAGAATTCGAAAGACTTTACTGACTGATGGATTTCTGATTGTTTTTCATCCCCATATCTACTCAGAATTTCCTGCCTACTGGAACTTGCAATTTCAAACAGGAAGGCAAGATACTTAATAACTTAATTAGAGGTAGGCCAGGCCTGTGAGATGGCTCAAAAGTGCTTGCTGCCCAAGCCTGAAGACCTGAGTTTGATCTCTGGAACTCATGATAGAAGAAGGGAACCAACCCCTACCAGTTGTCCTCTGAGGTCCACATGGGCATGGTGGATACACATGCACTCCCACTCACACACAGGTACATTAATAATAAATAAATTTTTTAAAATTGGGAATAGGAGATAGAGATGTGGTTTGGGGTTAGCTGGTGACCTTGACCATCTTATTGGACTTTCCCGTTGACTTCCCACCTATGGAATGAGAGAATGAGTCTTTTGACCTCCACAAAAGTCTTACTGTGAAAGCATTTTACAAATGCCAAAAGGACCCTCAAGCGTGATGGCAGCATCTTCATTCCTGAATTTAATAATCAAGAGATGGAAACCACACAGAGGAATGGCTGGGACTTTTCCTGGGTTCCTCACTGTGGAATCCTAGGAGCGAAGCAGGAGTGGGCCTCATCAAGGGTCTGAGAAGTGGACAGGGACAGTGTGGGTGCCTGGGTGAATAGGCCATGATGCGGTCCAAGTCACAGAGGAAGAAGCCTGAAGACAACGGCTGACACGGATAGGATGCTCAATGCTGTCTCTCACTCACTCCATTTTCCAACAAGCCCAGCACAACAGCTTTTGCAGATTCCAGCCTCTATAGTGTCACAATATGGGCCAGCGGATGGTTTGTCTTACCAGTTCCTTCGGGTGACATTCCATAGGCCGAAACCTTACCAAGTGCACTCTGTCTGCTCCATTCATTGTGAGAATCAGTACTTACATACTTGGGGAATATACGTTTGGCTTCTGTCGCTCTGGTCTCTGTATTCTAACTGAGGTAAAGACAAGTTGGATGAAGAACCCAGTATCTTCAAAATCCCTTCTACTTGAGTCCTTTCCCAAGCAACATGAGCAAAACTGAGTTCTGCCTGTTCATTTGAGATGATTCTAGACTGATATAGCACATCAACCCGCCACAACAGTTTCTATTTCTGAGAAGTGCTTTATTCCAGTTCTTTAGGTTGGCAATGTCTTTGAAATCCTGGGCTCCAGTCTCTGCAGAGCAATGAAGACTGCATACGTCCCCAGAAGTGGCCAGGCTCTCTCCAGAACTTCACAAAGAACTTTTCTCCTGCTGTCCGTGTGCAGCCAAGCTCAGCAGCAGTTGGCTGTTTCTGGATCCTTCCACTTCAGATTTGATTTGAGAATTTTCCATTCTTCAGTGAATTAGTTATACCAGAATGAGAGGGAAAATATCACCCCAAGCCCAGCAAAGGTCAGAAGAAGCCAAAGGCACAAAACAGAATCCAAGATAAAGATGTAAAAATCTAGTGTCTCTACCTGGAAATAAGACAATGGAAGTACTTGGGAAGGAGAGGCTGTGAGACGATGCTCTGCTGTGCTCCTGGCCAGCTCTGGCCTCTTGGATGGAAAGGCAGGAGCAGAGGTGATGAGCATTCTGGCTTTTCTTAAGGGTTGACAATAGAGGAAGAGAACCTCTCCAGGTCATGGGCTCTCTCGAGGGTAGAGACATAGTGCCATTATCAGGAGGATGTTGTAGCAGGAGTCTTCCTTCAAGGATATTCCCCTAAGGCAGGGATCCAGGGAGGGCACTGGAGTGGGTGATGCTGTGACTCATTCCTCTGTCCTGATCTCCCCTCTTCCCAGCCCCATCCTCTGACCCACTCTTTCTCCTTCGCAGGCCCTGAGCAAAGAGCAGCGTATTTCTCTCTTTGTGAGTCCTTTCATTGTCTTCTCTCTTCACTTTTCTGAGAATGAGTGGCTCTCCCCACATTCCTGAACTCTTGTGTGACACCTGTGCATTGAGTTGAGTCCAGTGGCATTTATCATCCCAACTGGGAACAGACTCTGTTACCACACTCCAGAGAAACTGGCATCACCAAAGACTCTCCAGAGGACAAATTACTGCAAGTTACAAAAACTCAATGTAAGTAGCTTGAGTGGAGGGAAATGAGTGTATGTCACATGCTGTTGGTTCACAATGAGTTGGGGTTCAGTTACCCTAGTAATCTATAATAGTAAACTCCTTGCTTCTTTCCTTTGCCTCTGTTCCCCCTCCTCACTGATTAGCTATAGACATCCTCCCTGTAAAATATCCTGAAATGAACACTGGTTGTCTCAACTCACAGGCATATGCATCAGTCAGAAGGAGATTCTTCTGTTTGGAGTCTTAACTGTGAATCTGTAGAATGAAGAATTTCAAAGTAAGAGTCAGTACACAACACAGACTTAATAAACTGGGTTGGAGGTGAAGTTCTGAAAGGTAACTCTAGGAAAAGAAAAGTAAAATGGCCACTCCATACACATTCCTGGGAATTCAAAGGAGACTTCTTACCCTACATCCTCCCTTTTACAGATGAAGAAACCAGGGCTCAGAGGAGTTGGGCATCTTGCCCAAGGTTGTAGGGATGATGAATGGAACATCCCAAGTCTGTCTAACTTGAGACCTTCACAGATCATTTTTCTTTCTTTGCTCTGTGCTAGACCTAGAGGGCGAGACATAATTAGTCCTTAATGGAGGCTGACTCTGTCTTCAGTCAATAGAAAAGCAACCCCAAGCAGGACGGGGGAGATGGCTGAGTTGGTAAACTGCTTCCTGAACCAGCCTGAGGACATGGGTTCAAGACTCAGAGTACACATGAGAAGACAGGCAAAGGGGCTTGTTTCTGTGATCTCAGGACTGGAGAGGCAGAGACAGGCAGATCCCTGGAGCTCACTGACCAACCAGATCAATGAGAGACCCCATATCAAAAGAGAAGGGAGAGAGCAACTGAAGAGAGCACTTAATAGCCAGTGTTGATCACTAGCTTGTACACATGTGTGCAAATGTGCATGCATAACACACACACACACACACACACACACACACACACACACACACACACACACACACACACACACCACTCCAGTAACCCAGACTGGCGTAGGCAAGAGAAAAGTAATCTATGGGCCACATGACCCATCTGTGGGTAGTTCAAGGTTACAGATGGAGTCAAAGATGAGAGTTCCATCAGCATGCCCTCTGATTTTCCTGGTTTCCACGCCATACCCTTGTCTGCATGTGGCTGAAAGAAGGCCACCAACAGCCCTGGGCTCAGGAGCCTTCAGCTCCCTCCTTCTCATTTACATACCCCTGTGCACCCTTGATCAGTTCTATCTGTGAGGACCTCAAAAGCAGGTCCAGATGGGGCCACTCAGAATCCCATGTCTACAAGCGTCCAGTTGGGTGAGGACATGAGGATCTGCAATTGGTCCAACTCCAACCAAATGCCCATGCTAGCCAATCACTGTGGCTAGAGTAACAAGACCTGGGAAGACAGTAGATGCTTCTATCAAACTTAAAAAGGAGATAAACAGGACTTACAGGGTGTCCAGTATTGCTTCTCTGTGCAACTATCTCACAGGTGGTGGTCTTGCTTTCAAACCCTTTTATACAGAGTCTTCTCATGACACAGCCTTTGTAACTCTGAATTAAGAGGCTTTTTTTAAAGGTAAGGAAACAGTTACTTCTCTCCAACTTCAACAAGAGCAGCAGGACTAGACTTTGCTTTGCCATACATCCTGAATTTTACAGTTGTTCTGTACACTTTGGTCTCTCACAGAGACTTTGGACCCATCCCTAACAATTCAGACACAGGAGACAGGGCCACAGATATTTGACATGGCAGCTGTGGTGATTTGAATAAAAACAGTCCTCATAGGCTCATCTATTTGAATGCTTGTCATCAGGGAGTGGCACTGCCTGAAGGATTAGGAGATGTGGTCTTGTTAGAGTAGTGGTGGCCTTGCTGGAAGAAGTGTATCACTAGGGTGTAGCTGGAAGTATCTCTCCCATCTGTGTCCCTCGGCTGCTTGGTCCCAAGTAAACACACAGAGGCTTATATTATTTACAAGCTGAGTGGCCAATGGGTCAGGCTTCTTGTTATAACTTAACCCATTTCTATTCATCTATATGCTACCACGTGACCATGGCATAACTGGTCTGCTGGCATCATGTTGCTCTGTGGATGGTAGGCTGGTGTCTCCCCCAGCTCCACCCTTCTTTGTTTTGTCTTCAGTTTGAATGCACCCCCAACCTATCATGCCCTGCTGTAAGCCAATGCAGCTTTATTTATCAACCAATCACAGCAACACATAGCCACAGCTTACAGAAAGACATCCCACAGCAATAGGGATAGGCTTTGAAGTTTCAGGTGCTCAAGTCAGACCCAGCGGCTCTCTCTCTCCCTGCTGCCTGTGAATCTGGATGCCAAACTCTCAGCTACTTCTCCAGCACCATGTCTGCCTGTGTGCACCATGCTCCCCGCCATGATGATAATGGACTAAACCTGTAAAGCTGTAAGCAAGCCCCAATTAAATCCTTTCTTTCATAAGAGTTTCCATGGTCATGGTGTCTCTTCATAACAATAAAACACTAAGACAGCAGCCATGGTCGAAACGCTGGCTATGACTTTAAACAATGCATAGCAAGAATATCTCTACAGTGTAAACTAAGGATGGTAGGGCTTTGGTTTGGGGGAGGGTTGCTTGTTTGTTTGTTTGTTTGTTTGCTTGCTTGCTTGTTTGTCTGTTTCTCTCATTCCCACTTTGCCCAGCCCAGCTTTCTGAGAGGCAGAGGATGCCAAGGCAAAAATAAACTATGCTGTTTGCACTGCTCTTGCTTCTTTCTTCCAAGAGCCATATCCCTCGAGACACAATGAGCTAGAGGGAAGGGAAGGAAGGGTTTAAGAAGCTGCAAGTCTCCCCTTCTTGCCTCCCCTTGCCTCCTCAGCCCAGGGGAGAGGGAAGGCATGAGGCAGAGAAGAAGACAGGCATTGGTGAATCTGAACAAAGGGGACTGTGACGTCCGCCCACACACAGAATTCTTGACTCTGAGCGGAATACACTCCATTTCCTACACGGAGCCCCAAGGGAATAACTAAGTCCCAGGTGTGGCCCAGAAGACCCTGGTCAGCCTCAGCCTCTCAGGCTCCCTACACCTGCCTGATCTCAGAAAGAACCCTTCAAACTGAGTGGCGCCGCCTAGAAAGCCAGACTCCTGGAACATAGGCAAATCTGGAAAAGCAGCCAGCTGGACTCTGTGCTGCCTGAGGCTAATCTAGCCAAAGGAGAAATTAACATAAACTCTGGTCCCTGTCCGTGTGACTTCACACAGTGTGCTTACTGCTCACTCTGTCCCTGCTGCGCCACACCCCACTGAGGTGGAAGACTTGACCATGAACCTGGTTACACTTCCCACTCACTGCAGGTCAGGAGCTGGGTTTCACGGATGCCACATAGTCTACTAACAAGGTGACATTAAGCCTCTGGGCCAGCCCTAATGGCTTAAGGCACAGCTCCTCTACTTTATAGTAGTGTAAAAGCAACATGCACTCTGTAGATGCTGCACTTCCCCGGGCATGTCTACACATGGGGTTTATGCACTCTTGCATAGTCGCATGCATGTGAGAGTAAGTGTGTGCACATGCGTGGATGCCAGGGTTTGGTGTCTGCTGTCTGCTTTAGCTGCTCTCCACTTTGTATACAGAGCCAGGGTCTCCCAGACTGACAAATCTGGCTAGCCAGCTTGCCTAGGGGGGTCATCTGTAGTGGGTAGCCATTCCAGCTTTGATCTGGAAGTTCCAACCCCCATCGAGACTTCAGCAACTGTCACGCCTACAAGGCGGGGCCAAGGGAGGTGCCTGGAGACCCGAGATCTGGATGGACCAGCTCTCTCAGTTCCAAGACCCTGAACGGTGGAGGTGGACCGAACAGAGCTCCAGAGAACACCTCTGGACTTCGATACACCTTCCCCAGACCCTGCGACCTACCTATCCCTTAATTTGTAAGTTACGCCATTAAATAAATATCCTTTTAACTACGTGGAGTGGCCTTAATAATTTCACCAATAGTCATTTGTCTCTGCCATCTGAGCACTGAGATTGCAGGCGGCCTGCCACACCTGCCCAGCTTTTATGTGGGTGCCAGGGATCCACAAGCACCTTAGCAACCAAGTCTTCCTTAATTTTGAATTTGATCTCCTAGAACTAACTGTGCATGGTACATTCTTCCCTCACAATACCCAACCATAAGGTGACGTTCTGTCCCTAGCCAGCTTCAGAGGAGCCCAGTGGAGTTGCAAGGTGAACATGGCAAACATAGCTTGACTTAAAATATTTTCCACAGTCGGTGCGTTGACCAGGATGTGACTCCATACTGAACACCTGCATAATCAAATGAGTGCTGTCCCACACCTTCAGCAGTCTCGTCAAGGAATGGGAGGTGCTACAAAGACATTAAGCATCAGGGGCAAGAAGCCTGGGGATGGGGGCCATCATTGACTTCTGCTTCCAAATACGTCTTACTCCTTTGGTTCACAGAATGAGGTTCACAGAATGAGGCAGAGACTATGTTAAATTCCAGTTGCAGGTATTTTAAGGAACTAGAGCAGAAGTTGTAACTTCAGAAAGACTTAGGACTCCATTCAGTTCTATGTATCTGACTGGACACCAGTCACTCATGTTCCAGACACCATGTTGGGTCACTACAAAGCTATTGAGCACCAGGATTTAACAGGCAGCTACATAAAAATGAGTCAGTCTCAACTCATCTCCATGCATCATCTCCTTGGGACAAAAACCTATGTGAGAAAGGAGTTCATTCCCATTGGCCCTCAATTTGCAGGTGTGTAAACTGAGGCCAGGAAAGTTCAGATCATGGTCTCCAAGTGCAGTAACTTCTAAACTCAGAGCTCTTGACCTCCATGGATCATAACATTCATCGATACAATACCTGCCTCTCAATAAGAAGATTCTTGCCTTTTAAAAGACACCAGGAGCACAGAAAGTATGGGCATGCAGAGCACATGTCGGGCTACAAAAGCCAAAGATGGCGCTAAGAGGAAGTGAGCTGGGCAGAGACCTAACTTGTTTACCAAAAATTATGATTGGCTCTTGGGATCAGGAGAGATGACGTAGGTGCATGGCCTCCTTGTGATCATCATGCCTAGCTATGCCTGGAGAGTCTCGAGGATACATGACCTTTGTTGTGATTGGTAGAAGGAAAGCTGGCTTGTGGCTTGGTGCTTTATAAAGGGTGTGCTGATGCTTAATAAATGAGTTCCTGCTTGACACAGCTCCCCACTGCGTCCGATTGTCTCCAGGTACCGGGAGGCTGGGTGATGGGCCAGTGGCACACTACCCCTCCTCAGTCAAGGTCTGCTGTGGGCTGTGGCCCTAATTCTTTGGTGGGGTCAGAGGAACCCCACAAAAAAAGGGTGTTGTACCTTATCCAGTTGGACTACTATAAAGAATGCCATATATTGGGTCACTTAAAAAATAAAAAATAAAAATAAATAAATAAAAAATAGAAATTCGCATAGTCCTGGAGGCTAGGAGATCCAAGGTCAAGCATACAGATTGGATGTCTGGTAAAGGCCTCCTGCTGTGCCCTCTTGTAGTAGAAGGAGCAGGCAGTTCTCCGGGGCCTCTTACAAGGAAGGACACTCATCCTATGCCTAGTGTCTCTGCTGGCATTACCTCATCTCCTCCTAAAGATTCCATCTCCTAATGCTACTGTGTGGGGCTGGGATTTCAATCCTGGGATTTCAGGAAATGGCAGGAGACATGAACTCTGCAGGCCATAGTAGAAAGCATCCTACTAGGATTGATAACCATAAGGTATCAGGGGTGGGGGTGGGGCTGCCTCCTTATTCAACAGTAGGATCTCTAGAGTGAAGATAAGTTGGAAAAGAGAGCAGAGTACATGCAGACATGATGGCTGGAGGTTTCCTGCCCAAGAGATATACACTCTCTCTTTATTCTGCCTCACTTTAAGGAGACGTTTCCTGACTCCTCTGAGTATCTCCTTATAGCTCTAAAAGTAAGGTGGAGTACTGAGCAGGACAGGCCATATGCCAGGAGAAACAGTGTGGAATGAGCACTTTTTCCAAGGAGTTCACAGACTCCTCCTGAGGAGTACTCTCAGGACCTCGCCTGTCGGGGGCCACTTGAGCACATCTGGAGATGTGTTTGGTTGATACCTCTGTGGCACTGACACCACTGATGAGCCTCAGGTAGAAACCAGAGATGCAGATGCATCTTCCAATGCATAGAAACAGCATCTGTGTTAAAGATCTAGCCAAAGCCTTTGATGAAGCCCCTACTTACCCACATGTGGGAAATCTTGCTCCATGAAGTTATAATCTCAAGAAGTGGTGAAGCCTTTGGTAGGTAGTTAGGCCTTGAAGATGGCATCTTGGTGAGTGAAATTCAGACTCTTATACCCTATTTAGTTATAAATGTCACCTTGATACAGTTTAGAGTCATCTGATAAGGGAATCTCAACTGAGCAATTGCCCAGATCAGATTAGCCTATGAACTTGTCTGTGGGAAATTGTCATAATTATTCATTGATAAAAGAGGGCCTAGCCCACAATGGGCAGCACTGTCCCTAGGTAGGTAGCTCTGGGCTACATAAGAGAGCTAGCTGAGCACTAGCTTGTGAGTGAGTGAGCTAGCAAGAAGCATTCTGCGCGGTTTCTAGTTCAAGTTCTTGCCTTGAGTTCCAGCCCTGACTTCCCCTCAGTGCTAGACAGTGACCTGTAGGATGAAATAAACATTTTTTTCTCTGTAAGTTGCTTTTTGTCAGAGTGTTTTATCACGGTGAAAGAATGAAACTTGGAGACCATGCAAGAAGACACACACACAAGCCAGGTGTGGTGGTGCATGCCTGTAATTCCAGCTCTCAGGCTGCTGAGCCAGAAGGATCAGGAGTTTGAGACAAGCCTGGTCTACATAGACAGGGCCTGTCTCAAACGAGCAAACAAATAACAAAAATACAAGGTGTTGCTGTCTCTGCTCTCCACCATGTAAGGGCACAGTGACAACCATCGACAAACCAAAAAGCAGTTCTCCCCAGATATGACAGCACCTGGACTCTCAGCTCCCAGAACTGTGTGGAGTGTGTGTTTGCTGTCTAAGCCACCTGCTCTATGGTATATTTGTGACAGCAGCCCAGAAACAGGGAGACGCATCTCAGATGTCAATAGGGTTAAGTCTACTCAAGTCTACCCACACAGGTGTTCTGTGATGTCACATAGTGAGAGAGAGACTTTATTGTCAGTGTCAAGTCTTGGCCTCTTTGAGATAAGCCTACGGATATTTACCATCTTAAAATCAAACCCAGCATCACTGGGCAGGTACTCAATCAAGAGATTGAGCCACCTGCCCAGCCATGAAGACTGTAAACAAATTCCATGACCAAGGTGTAAACATGCCGTGAGTGTAAGAGTACAGAAGTTTGGTCCTGTGGTGACAAACATCTGCCAATTTGCCATGGGCAGTCC